TAATATTTATTTTTTAGTTCTCGGCGGACACAACATCTTTGTTTGTATGTGGTGCTGAGGATCGAACCCGGGCCGCACGCATACCAGGCGAGTGCGCTACCGCTTGAGCCACATCCCCAGCCTAGTTATCCATTTTCAATGAAAATTTGTGTTGTTTTTACTATTCAGCTATTATAAATAATGCTGCTCTAAGCACATGTGTGCAAGTTTTTATGAAAATTTTTGTTTTTCCTAGGCAGTGTATACCTAGAGTGGAATGACTGGGGCATATGGGTCTTCTGTCCTTGCCTCATTGTAGGCACTAAGAGCCAACAGTTGGCTATCCTCACCTGGGGCCTCTTGCTTCCAGGCCAGATTAGGCAACTAGATCTTAGGTGACAGTTGAGGGCCCTTACTTAAGTCATCCTTTCCATGGTGTAGGCATCCAGAGATGAGCCAGTTGACCCCTCATCCTCGCCTAGTCGGCTCTTCATACCTTTGCCTAAGTTTAGTGATCCAGAGATGAAGGGACAGTTGGATGATCTCAACAGTCTCTCATTCTCCTTTCTAATGTTGGCACCAAGATCTGTGCTTTCAAGTGACTGTGGTCACCTAGGCCCTTATGCCCTTGTCCCAGTACAGGCATCCAGCATGAAGTAACAGTTGATAGTCTCAACTGGGCCCTCATATCTTTGATCAGTGTTGGCACCTAGATGTGACAGTTGACTGCCCCTGCCTCTACGCATGCATGAGTCCCAGTGTAAGCACTAGAGCTCAGGTGCTGTCTAAGTGTCCTTGCCTGGATCTTCTTGCTTGTATTCTAATATAAACCTGAGGGTGGCAATTGATGTTCCCCATCTGGCTTTTCATGCTTCTATCTAGGTTTCATGATCCAGAGTTGAAGTGATAATTGAATGACATGACCCAGTCCCTCATTCTTTTTTCCAGCATATGGACCAAGATCTGGGATCTTAGTTGATTTCTGTCACCTGCTTCATAAAGCTGAGGTGGAATCAGTGTCTATTGCTACGCTTCATGTATAGGGCACAGAGGAGCTCCCATCCCTGAAATGCTCCTGAAATGTTGTGTCTTTTGTAAACCAGACCCGGAGCTGACATGACAGTTGTCTGTCCTCATTCGGGACTCTACCTGCTATCTCTGTTCTAGTGTGCATACTGGAGTTTTGGTGTCAATTTTAAGCCCTGACTTGAGCCTCGTACCTCAGCACCAATGCAGCACCCAGAACTGAAGTGACAGATGATTCCCCTCATTGTGTTTGTATCCTTATTCTCCAGTGTAGGGATCTAGAGTTGAGATGTCATTTGCCCAATTCAGTGAAACCCAAAAGCCCATGTCAGAATGTATTCATTCACAGATAAAGTGATAGTTGAATGTTCTTACCTGTTTTCTCATGCTTTTTGTGCCTCAGTGTAGACACTCAGGGCTGAATGTCCTTACCTGGGACCTCATTGTAATGTCCTACAGATGAGATAACAATGAACTGTCCTCATCAAGACCCTCATTTTATTTATTAGGCACCCAGAGGTCAGGAGACAGATGAATGTCTCACCAGGCCCTCCTGTCCCTGTCTTAGTGTAGTCAGGTAGAACAGGATCAGATTAGGAGGTCCCCACCTGCTGTCCTTCCCAGTTCACACTAGTTGCTCAAATGTTGGGGGACCCACATGGAGCTAGGTTCTTCCTACACTTTGGGGTCACCCTACTGTCCTTACATAAGAGCCTTCACCTCAGCTATGCCATGTGAGTAGGTTCCCAGCATACAGCCCTGCTAGGTCTCCTACAGCCTATAAAAGTTGGGATGTTGCCCCAGGGGCTTCACAAAAGAGTTCTGAGCAAAAAGAGCCCTGCAAGGTCTGAACTAGTTCTTTTGCCTTCACTTTTTTTCCCCCAGGGTTCAATGTCATATTCAGGCCTACACCTGAGGCTTTGAAGACCCAGCACTGCCAATTACGGCAGTTGAGACTTAGAAGGCTCCAGCCCAGGGCGAGGGATGATGCCCTCTGGTGGTGCATGGGGCAAGTTGTGGGTGCGTCCTCAGGGATAGCTCTGCCTGATTGGGCCACCTCCCGGTTCATCAGTCTTGGGTCATTCCATGCCTTCCACAAAGCCTGGTCCACCGGTTGCAGCTGCATCACAGAGTCAAAGGCAAGTCACTCTATAGCTACACTAGGGCTGTGGAGGAGGGATACATTTCAGTCACTGTTTTTGCTGCTGTGACCAAAACACCCTGAAAGGTGTCTCTGTTCACTAGCTATATCTGGATTGTAGGCTGTTTGAACTTTATGTAAGATATGCTTATAACATGACACCAGAAGAAATTGCACAAGATTTAAGGGACCAAAATCACCACCATTTTAACTTTTCCATTCTGGTATTACTTAGAAAAACTATATATTTAGTCTGCTCTTTAGTTGCTGTGACTATAAGAGCTGACCAAGCACAATTTTAGAGGAGGAGAAGGCATCCAGAGATCCCATTTGGGGCTCATGGTTTCAGACATCTCAATCCATAGAAGGCTGGCTCCATTCCTCAGAACTTGAGATGAGGCAGAACATCATGGTGGAAGAGTGTGGCAGAGGGATGTGGCTCACATGATGATCAGAAAGCAGACAGAGACTCCACTCTCCAGATGCAAATATATACTCCAAAACTATGCTCCCAATGCCTACCTCCTCCAGCCACACCCTACCCACCTACAGTTACCACTCAGTAAATCCTATCAGGGGATAAATGCAGTAATGAGTTAAGGTTCTCACAACCCCCATTTTATCTCTAAGTCCTTTTTTGGGGGTGGGTGGGTGGGTACCAGGTATTGAACTCAGGTGCACTAGACCACTGAGCCACATCCCCAGCCCTATTTTGTATTTTATTTAGAGACATGGTCTCAGTCAATTCCTTCGGGCTTCACTGAGTTGCTGAGGCTGGCTTTGAACTTGCCATCCTCCTGCCTTAGCCTCCCACACCACTGGGATTACAGGCGTGTGCCACCGTGCCCAGCTCTCTAAACCCTCTGGCATTGTCTCACCTATGAGCTTTTGGAGGGCACCTCATATAAATCACAGCAGGATACTTGTACCATGCTCCCTCTACCATAATGGGTACAGTGACATTCTTAGGACCTAAAGGAGGTGAGAGTATGGAGGTATGATGGCTTGTTGCTCACATACATATTTGCTCTACCAGCTCCCAGTTCCAAATCACTCCTGGGTTTCAGCCTTTGCTGTGGTCCCCTGGGGTTCCTTCTCCAGTAGACCAGAGACCAGGAGGACAGAGGATCAAGGCCTGCCACTGTAACCAAAGCCTGGACTGTAACGCTGTCCACACAGTTCTGTTGGCTGTTCTGTAAGAACGTGTGCTAGGAAGGACCCTTAAGAGCCAAGTGACATATCCGTTTCCCATCAAGATCCCTTGTTCCCAAGTCAGGTTCCAGGTGAAGTTGGTAATTTCCCTCCTTACACAATCCAGAGGCATCACCTCTCATTTACAGGATGGAAACTACAGCGTCCAGCTTGTGGACAGGAGTGAGCTCATGTTACAGTTGACATTCTGCTTTATATATTTCTTCTACAAGTCTCAGGCAGGAGCCTTCCTGCTATGCTTACCCTAACCAGGCCGTTACCTCCCCAGCTCAGGGAATGTGTGCAGGTGTGAGGGCAGCTGGTTCTCAGTGACAGTCTAAGAAGTGTCTTGGAAGTCTGAAGTAGGAGGATGGCTGGAACATAGGCATTCACAATCAGCCTGGGCAACATATTGAACTCCCATCTTCCCAAGTGGGGTTGGTGGGGACAGAAATGCTGAGTCTAAGCTGGCTTCACTCCAGTCAGCCTCCTGCTGACAGCCTAAAGAATTTGCCCTGATGTCACAGTCCTCATCCAGTCTCCCCTCTATGGGAATACGACCCAGGTACATGTCCTCACTTCTGCTTAGAGTACACTATTCCTCACTGGGTCATTCTCTGGGCTGTTGCTTTGCCCACTCCATAAAACATCCTGCCCTCTGATCATTGTACCTTCAGCCTCTTCTACCAGAACCCAGGTCACCAGCGCAGGGCCCAAGATACCACTTCCTGTCCATCTATCTACCCAGTGTTCAACCCAGAGGAGACGGGGCAGGACAGCTGCTGTGCTAAGGGGATGCTGTTCTTACTGGGGGCAGAGTACTGGTTTCAACCAAATGCATGTTCACTTGGAGCCTAAGGATATGACCTTATTTGGAAATATGATGTTTGCAGATGTACTTAGTTGAGGTAGGAAGATATCATACTGCAGGAAGGTGGCCCCTGTTCCAATATGAGATTTCCTTTAAGAGGGAGGCAGACATACAAGGGAAGGCCTTGTGACCATGGAGGCTGCCACAAGCCAAGGAATACCAGGAGCCCCTTCAACTGAAGAGGTAGCCTCCAGCACATGCCTAAAGTCCATGCCTTGACCTTAAGACTTCCAATCTCCAGAATGGTGAGAGAATGCATTTCTGTTGTTGTAAGCACCCACTTTGTGACTTGTCTTTGTACCTCAAGCTGGTTTCTATGACAAACACCCATGAAGTGGAGCAGACTGATGATGGGAACAGATGTAGGGAGAGTGGGAGGTGTTCAGGCCCAGGTTCCTGGCTACACCGCCATGGGAGATGCCCGAGGCAAGGATCCCCAGAAAGAAGGTATGGAGCTGGTGCTAGAGGAGGTATAGTGGGTGACACAGGGAATGAGTAAGTGACAGGTCTCTTGTATGACTCCAGGTGGCAGAGAGGAAATGACAAGGGGACAGATGGGGCTGTTTGAGGATTTAATGGCAGGGGTTGAGGGGACTCTCAGCTGCTGCTTCTGCCTTTCCACGGAGTGCAGAATTCTTAAGAAGGGACATCTGGGAGAACAAGACCCTGCTGGGCAGCGTGAGGTCCCTTCTACCTGGTGACCAGGAATGTCAACTGGCATTGAGGCTAGTGTGCCCATGGGATCTCACATGGATGCACTTGGTCACTTCCTCAAGTTCAGAGGAGCTTACTCATAGCCACTGGGGAGTGTGATTTGGCCACTGCCCCACTATGGCCCATTGTCCCTAACATTTTGTCCTGAGAAGTCCTGGGACACACTGATGGGCCACTCTTCTTCTCTGGAGGTTGGAGTAAAGGGAGGAAGTGACTCAGGTTCCATGGAGAGATTGGTGGCTCAGACAGGGCCGGCACTGGCTCAGGACAGTCATGATGCGTGTCATTGGTGCTTAATGGTTGAAGAATGTAGCTGGGCCCAGGGAGGGGTACTGATGTTAGCGGCGGCGGCGGTCACAATGGTAGCAAAAGCAGTAGCATCAGCAGCAAGGGAAAGATGGTGGTGGCCCAAGCCTGGGGCTGAGGAATGTTAGGCCTATGGTCCCGAAGTCTTCCCATCATGGGGTTCTCCTGAGGTGAGGTCGGGTGGTGGGAAGGACAAACACAGGGGGCAGATGGGGTAGGGTGGGAGTGGGTGCCTGGGTCTCAGAGCTTGTGGGGGTTCACCCACTTGTAGGTGCCCTCATACTGGAAGCCCACTCTCTTCATCAGCTCATCTGCCTCCACAGGGCCTCGGCTAGAAACAGAACAGGTACAGGGCAAGATGTGAGGGCAGGGAAGAGACGTTCCCAGCTGTTTTTGCTCCCCTAGTCCCCCATCCTTCCCTCACCTGCCATATGTGTAAGGGATGGGTTGGGGCTTCTCTCGCTCAATCCTGTGCAGCAGTGGTGTGAAGATCCGCCAGGCCTCCCGGAGCTCATCGCTAAGGGGATAAAATGTGGCTTTGGTGGGGAGTGGGACATATGGGGAGGGAGACAGAAGGCCACCCTACTGCCTGGTATCCTCTCTCCCACGAGACAGCTGGGACTGGGCTTCTGGGGACCCTCACCTGCGCACAAAGTGCATCTGGCTCCCACAGAAGACGTCCAGAATGAGGCGCTCATAGGCATCAGGAAGCTTCACGTTCTGTGGGAGAGGGGGTCTTATTGATACCATGGTGTGTGGCCACCTAGGCCATCCCTTGGCAGCCTTTCCTGACCAGCTTTCCCTGTGGGCACCTTGTATCTGTTGCCGTAAGTCAGGTCCAGCTCTGATTCCTCAGGGTTGAAGAACATGCCAGGCTTCTTGGTCATCATCTTGGTGTACACGGCTTCATTTGGCTGCACTCGGATCACCAGCTCATTGCGCTTACACTGCTGGTGGAAGATGTCACCGGCCACATCGCGGAACTGCAGCCTCACCTCGGCCTTGCGCTCATTCAGGGCTTTGCCACAGCGCAGGATGAAGGGCACCCCTGGGTGGGGGCAGGGCTGGTCTCAGGACTGGCTCTCCCAGTAGTGCAGGGAGTGAGAATGAGTGAGAACTTCAGTCTAAGTATGTGTGTGCAAATGTGTATGTGGTGTATGGACAGGGTACCATGTCCCACACCCACCAGGCTTCCCCCTCCAGAGTCCCCTGCCGTTGAGCAGTCAGTGTGTCTGACCCCACTGAGAAGGTCTCCACAAGGGAAGGCCCAGCCCTGCCTCACCAGGCCCCAGAGGTGTTACTTACCATCCCACCGCTCATTCTCCACATAGAGGACAACAGCTGCAAAGGTAGCAGTGGTGGACCCATGGGGCACTGTGGGGTCATCCAGGTACCCTTTGGTGGCCTCACCCTCTCCACTGGGGTTCCCCACGTACTGGCCCAGGACCACGTTGTCAGCCTGCACCTCTGAGATACATTTCAATACCTTGACCTGGGAGAAAGGCAGGGAGAGTGGACCCTTTGGATAACAAGATGGCATACAGGGCAGCAGGTGTGAAATGACCACTGGGGACTGGCAGGTGCATCTTGTACCTTCACCTACCTTCTCATCACGGACATCATCTGAGTCAGTGGAGGCAGGCTTCTCCATGGCCACCAGACACAGCATCTGCAGAAGGTGGTTCTGCATCACATCCCTGGAGACAGAAGAGGCCAAAGCTCTGGTCAAGCACTACTTTCAGGATGGGTGGAAGACATAAGGAATGGGCTTGCTTCATTTCCTCTCCCTGTTGTCCAGGGTCCTCAAACAAGGCTTCCCAGTGACAGGCTGTGAGACTTGCTTCCTGCTCCCCAATGTCTTCCAGGTCCCTTCAAATTAAAAAAGTAGATATTGACCCTGTCACCGACCCAGGAAACTCCTGGGATGTTCAGCTGGATAGGGGTCCTACCCCTCTAGCCACATGTGACAACTCACTCAGATTTTCGATCTCAGATTGTGAGGAGGAATCACCAAAAGAGGGAGGAGTGGCCCTGTAGGATGACTAGATTTGTGTTCCATGCCCTATGCTGGCCTCCTGGGAGCAATGAGACGGGCTCTTACCGGATAATCCCAAATTCATCAAAGTAGCCCCCACGGCCCTCAGTGCCAAAGGGCTCTTTGAAGGTGAGGATCACACAGGCAATGTTGTCCCGGTTCCAGATGGGGCCAAAGATCCTGTTGGCAAATCTGTGGGGAGGTGGAAGAGTCCCCAGGTAGAACTGTCCTTTAGCTTCTGCAGCACAGCAGCCAAATCTGAGCAGTCAGCAGAACTATACCCAGACCCGGAGCCCACCACCCTTGCTTATATTCTTGAGGAATTTGTCCTTGGGGCAGCATCATCTGTGGGTACCCACCCCTGGCCTTGTACTGTTCCACCCTATCCCATGTACAGGCATAGGCCAGGACTTAACCCCCACCTCAGCACCATGAGGTTCTGAACCATCTCCTTGCCCAGGTAGTGGTCAATGCGATAGATCTGGTCCTCACGGAACAGGGAAGAGATGTGGTTGGACAGCTGGTCAGAGCTCTGTAGATCTCTCCCGAAGGGCTTCTCCACAATAATGCGATTCCAGCCTCTGCCAGGACCCCAAAGCCATGTCACTCTGACACTGTGTCCAGGGAGCAGATCCTCTATCCTCTGCATTCCTAGGTGACTCAGGGAAGTTCTGCTGGCCCTTGCCCCCTTTTCAAAGCACAGAGACCTGTCATACCTAAGAATACCTCTGTTTCCCCAGTACTCAATGCCAGGCTCAACACCACAGAAGCCTTCCCACTACCCTTTTGGTGACTGAACAGCTTTCAGCCTAACCACTGTGGGTGCTAGGGTGGCACTGCTGGCATATTCCTAGGTGGCCCTACTCCTTTCTGGCCTCACAATGGGTCTTTGGTGGGTCAGGAGAGGCCCAGGAGTGGCCCAGTGGCTAGAGGAAGGGGCATCAAGGTCAGAGGTTCTCCATTTTTTATTTTTGGTACTAGGGATTAAAACCCAAGGGTGTTCTACCTCTGAGATACATCCCTAGTTCTTTTTGAGACAAGGTCTTGCTAAATTGCCCAGGCTGCTCTCAAACTTACAAGCTAAGTTGCTGACGCTGACACTAAACTTGTGATCTTTTTGTCTCAACCTCCTGGGTCACTGGGATTACAAGCATGTGCCCATTTTAAAATTTATTTTTATTTTTAAAAAATTTATTTATTCTAATTTGTTATATGGGTCAACAGAATGCAATCCAATGCATATTACACAAATAGAGCACAATTTTTCATGTCTCTTGTTGTGCATAAAGCCATTTGTTTGAAAAAGAGAAAAGGTCCTGGGGCTGAAGTTGGGCTCAGTGGTAGAGCACTTGCCTAGCATGTGTGAGGCACTGGGTTCAATTCTCAGCACAACATAAAAATAAATAAATAAAACAAACGTATTGTGTCCATCTACAATTAGAAAACATTAAAAAAAAAAAAAAAGAAATGGTCCTTTTCTATCCCGGCAATTATTAATATGGTTTTCCTGGGCTGGGGATGTGGCTCAAGCGGTAGCGCGCTCGCCTGGAATGCGTGCGGCCTGGGTTCGATCCTCAGCACCACATACAAACAAAGATGTTGTGTCCGCTGAAAAATAAATATTAAAAAAAAAAAAAAAAAGAAACATGGTTTTCCTTATTGAAAACCAGGAAAGAGACTGTGATGGATTGGAAGTAGTTTCTTGTAGAGCAACACTGCCACCTGGTGCTCATGGTAGGGACTGTGGGAAAACGTGAATACTACAGAATGAGCAACTGGGAGCATTTCATGGAGCAACACTGCCATCTTGTGGTTCTTCCGGGAACTGCTGCTAGGGACCATTTCATCTGTAATGAGGAACTTTTCATGCTGTACACAAACGTGGCAGAGGTTTTAATAGTGTATTTATAGCCTTTCCCTTTATTTGGAGAGCTAATTTATATATAGAACAAACAGGGCATCCCCCTTCCTCACCCTGGTTTCTCAGGCCAGTGCTGGATCTGTGGCTAGGGCAGACTACATCAAGGCAGGTCAAACAAAGGGGGGAGGGAGAGAAGGCAAAAGGACAGGCCTTACGTCTGGCTCATGCAGGTCTCATGGATGTTCTTGGTGACAGCCTCATAAACTGTGGGAGGCAAGGCCAGGTAGAAAAGCCGGTTGGCCTGTGGCCCCTGGTGAAGGGCGTTCATATGGCTGTTCAGGCGCTTGAAGGAGGCTGGGTCGTCATACTGGCCGGCCACATAGGAATTGCGGGTGAAGAACTCCTCCAGCTTGGGCCTCTCCTCTGGGGTGGCCTGGGAGAGATGGAAGGACAGATAGAAACAATGTCAGCCCCACTTTTCTACCTTCTTGAGAGTCCATGTCTGCTCTGCCCCAGGAAAGTGAAGGGTCTTGTTTGTATGCGTTTGTCTCTTTTATCCCACAGCCATGATGGGCTTCCCTGGAGATTTGGGAGGGTTCTGTTAGAAGTCAGCTGTCCTGGCCCTTTATACTGTTCACCCCACCCTGGCAGATTCATGCATTCATGGGGAGGGAGGCTGAGGCAGGCAGGACTACTGTGCAGAGATGGGGCACAGCAGGCCCATGCAGGGCTTGAAACCTGTATAATCACCCCTGTACAACCCTAGGACCTTTTTCCCTAAGACAGAAGTTGTATTTCAGGAAAAATCTGACCTGGAGAAATACAGTGGAGAAAGATCTTTTACCAAAATTAGCACACCAAACTACAATTTGCTAAGAAAAATGCTCATGTGTAGTAGGATTTCCTGTAGGGAAGAGGTACCTGTGAGGGAGGGAATCCTTTTTCTAGTTCATGGTATATCCTAATGTGGCCCCAGAGCACATCAGGGAGGACTGAGTAAATCTAGGTCAGAGAGGGGCTGGGAAATGGGTTATCCTGCTAGAGGGACCCCTTTCCCTCTCTGTGCCTAGAGTTCTTCCTATAACGGAGGAAGCAACAAGAGTAGGCATGCAGAGCTTTTGGGTGCCTGTTGAGTGGGTGGTTTTGGGGCCCTCAAGGATGTGAGGTGCTAAGGCTTGAGTGCCAGGCAGCTGTCCTGAGGCATCCTATCTTTCTGCCAGTCAAGTGAGGAAGGGGGAAAGGAAATGCATCTAAGATGGGACAGGGGCATCTCCCACTGGGCCACCTGGGGCTGGCACTGCTGGGGCTAAGGAAGAGGACAGAACAAGGTTGGGGGGACCCTGAAGCCACTCACTCTGAAGAAGGGCTCACTCTGCTTACGGATGTCATCCACTGTGAGACGGGAGCGAGCATAGCCCACGATGAAGGTGTCTTCGGGTAGAAGGCCATCACGGAACAGCCACCTGAGTGCAGAGCACAGCTGTGCCTAGCCAGGCCAGGCTAGGGAGTGCAGGGCCAGGCCTTTCCCTGGTGGGGAGGCCCAGGGGAATGCACTTACCAGATGGTGGGGTAGATTTTCTTCTTGGCAAGGTCGCCCTGTGACAAAGAGAATAGGCGTGGTCAGGGGAAGCTATGAACATGACCTAGATCATCACCCCTCCTAGTGATGTGAGCACGCACTCAGGTCATCACTCAGCCACAAGCTTATCTATCTTGTCCCCATACACTGCCAGAGAAGCCCTGAGATTTGAGCCTGCTGTGGGCCTGGACCCTTCATCTGGAAGGTGTAAGTGTTTCCCGCATTCCAGAAGAAACCCGAACATTCAGTTCATTAGAACTGAAAGATGATTAAGGTGCAAAATAGCAAAACTGGTAAGATGTGGCCTTAAACCTTGTATCAGCGAAAAAGAGTAACTCAGAAACAATGAGCTACCTATTCGAATTATGAAGTTAGGAAAAGGATAGCAGACTTTCAAAACAAAAAAAAATTATAAGGACAGAAATCATGAAAAAGAAAAGTCGGGCTGGGGTTGTACCTCAGTGGTAGAGTACTTGCCTGGTATGTCTAAGGCACTGGGTTCAATCCTCAGTACCACATAAAAATAAACAAATAAAATAAAGGTATTGTGTCCATCTACAACTTAAAAAATTTAAAAAATGAAAAGTTAATAAAATGGAAAACTAATGAAAGGAAAAGATCAACAAAGTTAGAATTTGGTGTTTGAAAAAGACTAATAACAGCCAGAAAACCCTTTGCAACATGGCTTTTTCAACAGGCACAAATAATTGGGGGTACAATGGAACAGAACTACAGATGGGAAGCACAGAAGAGAGTTTTATAAACAACTTTATTCCATCAGTAACGACTTAGATGAGATGGACACATTTCTACAAAAGTTCAACCATGGAGCAAGGGACCTGAGTGGGGCAGTGATAACAAACCTTCCCACCAAGATAACTCCTGGCACTGCCAATGGGTTCTACCAAAATCAGGGAAGAGAGAATTTCATTCTGAAGCAAACTCCTCCTATAGACAGAAGAAGGGAAACTTTCCTGAAGGCATTTTCTAGTTCTCGCAGAACCTTGGCCGTGAGATTTGATGAGAAAGGCACATGGGAAAACTTTTCACATATACCCATGTAGATACAAGAATCCTATAGAAAACGTCAGCAAACTGAATTCTGCCATGTTAAAATATGTAACACATCATAACAAAGGTGGATTTATCTGGGAAACAAAAGATTGGTGTGATATAAAAAACAAAAATCAGTCAGTGAGAAGAGAGTAAAGGAAAAACTGAGAAATCTTTGCCTACTCCTACATATTGATTTTTTAAAATCTAGCAACCTTGCTAAACTCAAGAAATGTAGATAAAGGGTTTCAAAGTATTATCTATTCATGATGAAAATTTTTAGCAAAGTAGAAAAATGGGGAATCCCTTAACTTGATAAAGGGCATCTATGGAACACCCTACAGACACAATACAGAATGGGAAACTGTTGAAATAACTCCCTGTAAACAACCAGGAACAAGAAAAGAATACCTGCTACTGGCTCTTTAGTAGATGCTGAACTAGCCAGTCCAACAAGGAAGGAAATGAAAATGGATTTGTTTGGAAAGGAGGAAGTAAAACTGTCATTATTTGTAGATGATGGTTTGTCTATTAAAAACCCACCTGAAATCGATCTGCAAATAAATAATTAGAGTTAATAAGAGTTTAGCAAGGTTTCTAGGTTTAAAAATCATTAGATAGGAGCCGGAAAAAATTTATTAGGACACAGAAAGCAATATCATAAAAACTGAAAAATTAAGACTTGACTGAAATTAAAAACTGTCTCATCAAAAAATGCTATTGAGAACATGGAGGTGCTAGGGGTGGCTCAGTGGCAGAATGCATGCGTTGCATGCAGAAGGCTCAGGGTTGGATACCTAGCACCAAAACAAACAAACAAACACAAGCCACAGACTGAGAGACAGTATTCACTCAACTTATCTGCATCCAGAATATACAAGCAGCTCCTACAATACAATAAGAAAACAACCCAATTAAAAATGGGTAAGTGTCTTGGCCAGATGCTTCATAAGGAAGAGAAATGTATGACTACTAAAAACATTAAAAGTATTCAAGATTGTTAGTTGTCAGAAAAAATGCAAACCACATAGCATTTCACACTCACGAGAATGATCGTAATCTAGAAGACTGAGAACACCTAGTGTTGGTGTGAACTCACGTATGTGGGTGGGAGAAATGAGATGGTCAGGCACTCTCTAACGTAGCTTGGCAGCTTCTCATTAAAGGAAGCTATTCTACTCCTAGAGGAATGAAAGCAGGAGGCCACACAAAAATCTGTGCATGAATGTTCACAGCAATCTAATTGAAAACAGACCCAAACTGAAAATACCCCAAATGAATCAGGTGAAGAAACAAAGACATATTACCCAGCAACAGAGGAGGAACATGTTACAGATCTGTGAAACACTGACCAGTCACAAAAAATATTATGCTGAGTCAAAGAACTCAGACACAAAAGATTAAACCTTTGAGTTCACTTAAATAAAGTCCTAGAATGGGCAACATTAGCCTATTAGTACAGGAATTAAATCAGTAGTTGCCTGGAATAGGGGGTGGGATGGGAAGGGGCACTCAAGAACTTTCAGGGAAGATGAAAATATTCTGTATCTGTGTATTGTCATGTGCACCAAAAAGAGTGACATAAATAATAACTGATCAGAGGGTGGGGAGTGGGTTAGAAATTCCCCTAAGGTAGCAGTGATCATAAGGCAGTGCTTCTAGAGTGCAGATAATGTTCTGTTTCTTGATGTGGTAGAAGGTATATAGGTGTCTCAAGTTTGTAAAGTCATCAGGCTGTCCCCTTATAGTCTGTATTCTTTTCAACATATATTCCAATAAAAATTATAAAAAAATAATAGGTACATACCACCTGCCTTATACTTACTAGCAACAAGAAGTTGGAGGAGAAAAACAATTTAAAAACAATTCCACTAACAAAAGTAAATGTTATTTGGTATAGGGGATTGACCTAGGAATGCTGTATCACTGAGCTGCATCCCCAGCCCTTTTGTTAAAGTTTTTTTTTGTAGTTGTAGATGGACAGAATGTGTTTATTTTTATATGGTGCTAAGGATTGAACCCAGTGCCCCACACGTGCTAGACAAACATTCTGCCGCTGAGCTATAGCCCCAGCTCTCCAGCCCTTTTAGTTTTGGGACAGGCTCTCCCCAAGTTGCCTAGGGTGGCCCGGAACTTTCCATCTGCCTGCCTCAGCCTTCTAAATCCCTAGGATTACAGGTGCAAGCCACCACACCAGACTACAAAAGTAAGTGCTTATAAAGAACCTAGAAATAGAGCCAGCATATGCCTGTAATCCCAGCTGCTCAGGAGGCTGAGGCAGGAGGATTGCAAGTTGGAGGCCAGCCTAAGCAACTCAGTGTGATTCTGTCTCACAATAAAAAATAAAAAGCTGGAGATGTAGCTCAGTGGTAGATCACCACTGTGTTCAATCTTCAGTGCTACCAGAAAAAGAACAGAACTAGAAATAAACGTTCAAGCCTACTACTGAGACAATGATACAATTCCATTAAAATGGCCTATGCAGACACCTCATTCTCTTGGGCAGCAGAAGCACCAGGAAGAATAACAACATCCCTCCTTTCCAAGCCAATCTGCTTATCCAGTTCAGTCACCCAGTTACTATCAATAGCCTAACAAGCTTTAATTTTGTAACCTGACAAACTAGATGGAAGAGGAAGGGGTAGAATGACCAGCGAGCGGGCTCTTGAACAATAATGGAGCAAGGCCCTTTCATTTTAGACCCTATAATCAAGACTATGGGAAGGTCTGGTCTGTGAACCCATACTTTATGGGGCCCTGCCACTCTGTGGGGAGAGATGAGTGGGTGGCACAGGCACAAAGCACTGTCCCAACCAAGATCTCAACTCAATCCAGACAGGAAATCCATTTCCAGGGATAAGATAAAAGACTTGAATATTCATGCAAAATTAAGTTGTAGAAACCTTCCCTGCAGATCTTTTTGTAAAAAAATTTTAAATTGTTTTAATTTTTTGTTGTAGATGGGCATAATACCTTTATTTTATTTATTTATGTGGTGCTGAGGAATAAACTCAGTGCCCCACACATGTGAGGCAAGTGCTCTAGCACTGAGCCATAACTTCAGTCCCTGCAGATGTATCTTGATCTAAAAAAAAAAATCAAAATACTGCTGAGCACAGTGGTGCATGCCTATAATCCAAGCTACTTGGGAGCCTGAGGCAGAGGATTGCAAGTTTGAGGCCAGCTTCAGCAACTTAGTGAGACCCTGTCTCAAAACAGAAATAAATGATTATGTAGTCAGTGGAAAAGTAGTGCTGAGTTCAATCCCTGGTCCTAAAACTAAACCCAAACCAAAACACATAACAACAATAACAAAACTAAAATCATACAACAACAAAACAAACTCATGTGAACCTCTGGTCTCCCTGGCCTGCAATGCTATGGTGACTGTGTTCAGGAAAATATCCCAGAATTGCTGCCAGCCAGTCTCTGCTTGCCTGTCAGACCTCCTCATGCATCTGCATCAATCCCCTGTCTGATGCCCAGTTTGCCCACTCAAAGGTCTACTGAGTTCTCGAAGGCCATTCAGATCTCTGCTGAGTGAAGCTTCTAACCTACCATATCATATGGTTGCCCTTGCTGGTCCCTCAAGGTCTATCTCAGATGACCCCCAACCCTGGGCCAGGGGCTCCCACAACATGGCCCTCAGTTTCTCAGTGCACTGTCAATGCCTGCCTCTGGCTTTCTCCCTCAGCAGGGCTGGTAAGGACACTGCTCATGTCTGGATGGTTCAATGTTGACTCCACATGCTCCAGAAAGGGCCAGCTTGCTGGGAACTGACCCTGAAAGAAACAGTAAGAATCCTGGCCTGCAAAACCCTCTAAAAGGCAATGTTTGCTTATGATAAAATTCCAATGGATTGGGAGGAATCAGGACAGACTCCAGGCAATGGATTGGTGGCAGGGGATTGGTTTGCTAAGTCACAGTTGCCCCACACCCCGGAGCTATTTGTTTTTGTGTTCCCTTTGGGATTAACTAGAGATAGAACCTGCTCGCCTTGTTTCAGCTCAATCCCCGCAACCCACAATCTGCTGAGCTCCAAGTCACCCAAAGGAGAGGTGAGGTAGACCAAGAACAGTGGGGGTGCGGGGGCGGGGGGCAGCCGCTCTCTTCAGGGCTGGGTTGGTCCTGCCCTTCCTGTTGTTCTGCATGGCTCTCACCAGAATGGTCTGGAGCAAGGAATACAGGGAGACCTAAAATCTAAACATGTGGGGGTGGGCACAATTACAGCAGGTAGAAGCCTCTCAGGTTTGCTACCCTGTTTGCTTTGCCCAAGAATCATGGTGGGGAAGGGGTCTACTCAAGGACAAATTTCACCTTACTAGGAAGAGGTAGGGCAAAAGAGACTTGGGCTACCACTTGCCTGTGGTCACCCTAGGTTTGTCCTCGGCCTCCTGTTTTATAAACCCAAATCACTGCAACCCTTTGTTCTGGTGTGAGGGTTTTAGGGTGGAGGCCCAGTAGAAGGAATGAGCCATCTTGTCCCCAAGAGTTGTTGGCATTAAGGATTCACCAAGGTAGAGCCCTGAGCTTTGGTGGAGGTCCAGCTGGCTCCTGGCCACTGGGGTGAGAGAACCTGGCTTTGCTGAGGTAAGTTCAGGCAGGAAAAACTAACAATAGGGCCTCCCTCCTACACTCCAGTGCTCTTGAGTCACCAGGCCTTTGGGGGAATGCCAACGTCATCATGATACAGCAAGAATCTTATCAGCCCAAGGGGGAAGTCAGCCTTGAAGTGTCTGTCCTAAGAAGAGGGAGGGGCTGGAACAGCCAGGTCATTTGGATAAATCATAAGCACCCATCATGCCATGGCCATCATGGTCCAGGTGGGGAAAATGAGACCCAGGGAGGAGAGGGTCCTGCAGTGAGATGCTCTGCCCACATGGACTCCCAGTGGGATTCTCCTTCCCTTGTTCCTATGGAAGTGTCACTCTCCAGCTTCACCAAGGTCTCCAGGCAGGGGAGGATATCCTTTAATGCCCAAGGTTCCTTCCTGCACGCTAGTGCTTTCTGGACAGCAAGTACCTCCACTCTCTTCCTGAAGTGGGTTGGAGTCTTAAGAAATAGGAGAACCTTGAGTGGCTCAAAGCCCATTTGGTAACAGCATCAGGATGCTCTCAGGAAGGAAGCTGGGCATGTACGTGAGGGTTGGGTAAACCTGCAAGGGAGGAAGTGGCAGAGGATGGCCGCTTGGGCCCAGCTGGCCTTGGGGTGTCCTGCTTGCCCAGATGTTGGCCTCCTTTTGGTTTCTAGGTCATACTGGGCTTGTTCTTGACTTAGGGCTATGGGTACTTCCTCTTCCTTTCATATGGGATGCACCCCCAGCCCTTACCTGAAGGCCTTACTCTCCAGGCCTTCTTCATGGGACCTGTGTGCTGAAGGGGGCAGGAGACACAGGGGCACATTGGTGGCTTCTTTTTTGTGAGCCCCTCTTGGTCTGCTTACTCCCTTTGGGGCTCTGGCTTCCCACAGTCTATCGGCTCCATGAGGAAGGGGCTGTGGCTGTTGTGGTTTGAAAGAGGTACTTGCTACATGTTGAATGAATGAATGGAGAACATGCTGGTTTCTCAGAACAGCTGGTACCCTGCTTATCTCCTGCAGCAAGTGAGCTGTCAGGCATGGAAGGAGGTTTAAGAATGGGAGCTACTCTGAGTGCTGTCTGGGCATAAATGCCCCTGCATGGACTCCAGGCCCTCCCTGCGGGGGGTGAGGAGGAGAAACAATGGGGCTCTTTAGAACATCCCTTGTCTTCTCCACTCCCCTCTGCTGGAGCCAGCACTTCCCATTTCGGTTCTAGAAGCCTCTAGTTCTCACTCCCAGAGCAGAGGAGAGCAAAAAGGAACCCTACTGATTGCAATTAAACACAGTTGCCTAACCCAAGGCCAGCAGGAACGTACACATCAGCCTAAGAAGGCCAAGACTTGTTTGCTAGGAGGAAACACTGAGGTTTTGAGATACACACACACACACACACACACACACACACACACACACACACTTGCTCTAGTCAACAAGCTTAGATTCTCTCAGTGAGGTATCCAAGAGTTGAGGGTCTGGGGTTATGATCCATCATTGTGGTCTAGGTCACTGTTGGCCTGTGATTGTCAGAACATGGGGTAGGGATGGGGAAGGGAAATCATCCTTATTTACTTGCTGCTCCAGTCTGATCCTGGAATGAAGGCCTAATGGTCAGATTCTAAGGTGTTAAGGTTTGTGGCTGTCACAAGTATGGCTGCTCAAATGGGACTGTCTGAGGCCAAGCCTGTCCCACTGTGTGCCCCAATTGGGTACCTCCAGGGGACTTTAGGGTTCCTAGGTGTCAGAGGACAGTGCTTAGGGTGGCTTGCACTTGCTTTTCTAGTGGTAGAGCCCTTCTCCCTTGCTCTCCTCCTCATTATTTCTAAGTTCTGATCAGAAATACAATGGTGGGCTGGACATGGTGGTGACCTATAATCCCAGGTACTGGCAAGGCTGAGGCAGGAGGATCACAAGTCAGTCTCAGCAACTTAGCAAGATCCTATCTCAAAACAAAAAGGGCTGGGGTGTAGCTCAGAAGTAGAGTACTCTTTAGTTCAATCCTCACTACTACAGGAGGAAGAAAGAAATATAATAGTGGTAGCAGGGAGCAGGTTTGAAAAGGGGGTGGCATGTTCTGTATGAACAAAGAACCACAGATTTCCTCCAGCACGGAGGGGCTCACAACATGCACCGTGTTGCACCTACCTTGTCAATAGCTAACTAGTTCTCATGGAACTCTTATTCAAGATTACACAATAAGTTCAGGGTGAAGATGATCACACAATGTTGAGCAGAGTTCAGGACATATCCAGGGCTAAAAGTAAAGAATTGAAACCATTTTTGCCATTAAACCTTGGTCCAGTCAGTCACTGTACTTGTCTTGCTGCCGCACAGCACACAAGGGAGGATGCTCTCATCAGGGACCACAGATCCACTAAGGCCACACTCCTTTTCCTGTCCAACCATGTACTGTCAATATGCTTCTACTCTTTGGCCTTTCCAATCAGAGCAAAATTCAGTTGTGCCAGCTAGACAACTGAGGCCAGGTGGGGTGGGTAGAGCTCTTCAGGAGGGTTTGGAAGTTGTGGCAAAGAGGAAGTGTTCAAAGAAAGACCCAGTATTTATGATCAGGGAGCTTCATTGGTACAGAGAGAAGAGGCAGAGACAGGGCTCCAGATCTTTCTTCTAGAACTGACCATGTGACATTTGTCAAGTCACAAACTGGTTTAAAAAGAATTCAGAATGAATAGCATTCCCTGTTTGCATCTGTTTTCCTCACTGAGAAGGAAGAAGTCATGGTCCTTTAGGACCTGGTGCTCTAGGACTCCTGGCTATACTGAATGGGTGACCAGACTTTAGAAACATCTCACAAGTATGTACCAGGTAGTGTAGGGAGGTTAGTGGCACACTGGCAGGGGCAACAGGTAGAGCTCAATTTATCAGAGCCCATGCAGCCCCACAAAACTCAATCAGGAAAGCTGAGGCACAGAGTAAGACGTGTTTTGCACAACGCCACATTCAAAGTATGACTTTTCAGACTGGGGCCTGGGGGAGACTCACCGATGCACCCATGATGATGAATATATGTGTATCAGCCTGGTGGAAGGCATCACCCTGGTACAGCTCTTCCCGCAGGATCCCGCACACCTGGGTCCGACTCAGGGCTACCTGCTCTGCCATGGTGCTCTCTGGTGAAAGAAAGGCTCCTTGACAAGTCGGTCTCCTTCTTGAGTCATGACGGATTACTGAAACCATTCTCTGGGAATGGTCACGGTGGGGGTGGGGCAGCGGGGTTGGTGGGTTAGAAATTGCTGCCTCTGGGTTCCAGCCTTACTCTCTCAGGCTGCCTTTTTTCAGGGTGTACATTACAAAATTACTCAAAGCATGAATGGATTTTAGCTGCAGCATCAATTTTGGGCAAGTGGATAAAAATCCTGCCAGAGCATCGCACTACATGTCCTGGACCATCTCATTGTGGACTTTGCCAGAAACTCCACAATGAACTTGAGCACGTTGGATTGTGCAGATGAAGGAGTTTAGCTCCAGCCCTCCCCGTGTCAAGCTGGGTGATTCCGGCAAGTCCCCTCCTCTCTCGGGGTCTGGCCCTCAAGGTCCCAATGGGGGAACCGCGGGTACAAAGGGATCGGTTAAGACTGTCTAGAAAAATAGCGCCTATTAAAAGGCCGCGTGGTGCAGTGGTGGGCAGCACACCCTCTGCCGATGCGGCGCCGGCCCGCCCGG